CACTGAAACCCAACTAATGCAAAGGCTTCAAGACCCATCCTTACTGCCAAACTGATGGATCTGGGGAAGAGGGGGTGACAACCTTGACCTGTTTTCTAAGAAATAAGTTTTATTCTTTTTATAGTGATGAGACTCTGATTTGAGCTTCCCCTCTAGGACTTAGTAATGTAAAAGAAGGTGCTGATTTGACTTCCTAAAAAATATTTCTTCTATATTTTACAGGTGTAAAATATTTCTTCTATATTTTGACAGGTGTTTTATGTTGTTGTTTTGTTCATTCTTTGATGGTTTTGTTTTGAGGGTTCTTTACCCAGCAAAGCTCAGCAGGTGTTTTCTGGACAACTGTGACATTTTTCTGTCTGCATTCTCAGCATTAGTTTCTGCCCTGTGCTGCAAGGGTGGTTACAGTGGTACCTTGATTGTGCTGGAGGAAGAAGATAATGGAATGGAAAGAAAAGGATCCATGGGAGCCCTTCATGGTTAGTGCTCAGGGATTTCTTGCTCCTTCTAGATAAGTGTAGACATGTGAGTCGTGGATGTGGGCAGGCTTAGCAGACTGGGAAGAGATCTCCTTATAGGCTTTCTAGGAGCAGACTTTATAGCTACTAACCTTTTAAAGTTCATCCTTGTCTTCAAACTCCCTTCAGTCAAAAAAATGAAACTAAATGCTATATTTTTAGAACATATTGTTCTGCAACAAGTAGAATGAGTACCACAGGCTTTTTAGCTACAAATGTGCATCTTTTATGCACTTATGTATTCCCTTCTTATTAATACATCCAATTCTCTCCCCATTGTTCACTGAGCCTCTCAAATAAGTTTTTTCCATGTCTCTTATCCTCCTTTTGTTAGTGGTAGAAGGGAGAGGAGAAATGTAGCAGAACTAGCAGACCCCCGATTAACACAAGCCTTTTACCTCCAATCAGGCTAAAAAAGCCCCAACATTATAAAAATTATTAAATGAGACAAAATAAAAATAAAGCCTCAGGGATTTCAGTGAGAAAAAACTCAGGTTATACAAAGTCAGCTAGTAGCACTCTCTGAAATTCCAGAGATTAAGGAATAGCATGAGGAAAAGAGTAATTACATTCTTTGCTGAATTCATTCCCTCTGCAACACTGATGTTCTTATAATGATAAATTTTCCTTCAATCTACCTCATCTGAAATGTTGCTCAACATAGACCACTAGGCAGAAATGTATAGTTTCAAGGTAAGTAAACATAACTGTAATATAAAGTTTTGTAGCTTTCAGCATAGCAAACTAGGAAAATCAGTACTTACCCCTAAATTCCTTTGACTTTTATGCTGGTGTCTATGACAAAACCAAAATTTATTTGCTTTTAAAGAAAAAACAGCCAAACAAAAAAACCCCAAACACATTTGTAAAGCCATAGAATGGAAAAAAAAAAAAAAAAAGGATGGAAGGTCTTAGGCCAAAAGGAAGGTTTAAATGCTAAGATGCCATGGATAATTTAAGTCACTATATAGATAGGTTTTAAATAACACTAGTTAACACTTCCTCATGGATTCATTTATTGAGCCTCTGTTTCAGCATGTAAAGCAAGTATCTGAATATACTTTCACCTTTAACATGGTTTTTTTTTTTTAAGGTGAGAGGTTTTTTAGCTTGAAATTACCCAGATTTTGCTATGATTTCTTTTCTTCATTGCAGTTACTTGATCTGTAAATTTGTTCAGAGTGAATAAATGTGATTGAATGCTTTTCAGTGTAATGACATGGCATTTTGTTCTTGGGTTGAGACGATTAAACTGAGGCCAAAGAGGTGAATTTTTAATGAGGAACCATGTCTGAAGCATGCAGAACCCAGAGAAGAAGAGCTGAGTTGCTTTGCCCTCTTCCCTTTTAAGAGAGAATTGTTTTAAGAGTCCATTGTGGATGGCTGCATGGCCGTGGTTTTGGCTGGGATACTGGAACAGAGATGGAGCTGAGCACAAGGTCTGGGCTCTCACCCTCTCTACTCAAGGCCATTCTACTTTCTGACATTGGCACGTTATTTCAATGCCATAGAGACTTAAACCATCAAGCTGGAACTTGACTGAAATTGCTGCAGTTTTCCCCAGTGTATCTTCAGTATTTTACATCTTTGTTAGCTGCTGAGGTTATTGAAAATGCCAGGTTGCTAAACTGGTGGAAGCCATCAACTTGTCACTTAGACCCAAATATATTCAAGTGCCAAATAAACACATTAGTAATGGCTTCTTGGAAAGACTGAGAGAGAATTCTTAGTTCCCTTGAGTGAGCTGATCATTCAAAATTAAGATATAAACCATGCCATCAAAACCAAGACTTTCGTGTTTCTTTTTCACAATTCTACAGCTTTGGTGGTAATAATGACGACTAACAATGATTTTAATCACTCCCTGTAAGTGACCTTTTCCTATTTTAATATATTCTGTTAAATAATCTCAGCATTCTGTATTTGGCATCATTGAGAGATTGAACAATTCTTTTTTTTTTTTTTGGTTAAGGGGTGACATGACATAGTTGAAAAAGTTCAGAGGAACACACTTCAGTGTAAGTCACAGTGTTTCAGTGCTTACTGGGTAGAACTGTTCACGGGTTGGGTATTTCCGTTCACTGGAAAGTATTCAATAAACTTATTTCTGAGCTGAGACTTCAAATACTCAGAATTTCCTTTTTATTGTTTTTTCATTATTAAAAAAAAGAACAGAATGAATTTTCTGTTTTGGAGGGTTTTCCACTCACTCAAGCAAGAACAGGATGTAGGTGAGTAGGGGGTGGAAGTCCAGATATGGTCAGGATGTTGTAGGAACCTCTCCGTCCTTCTCACCCAAGAGCTGTGGTCGGGCAGCAGCTGAGAGCAACAGGAACAGGCAAGGTGGGACTGGAGGAGCAGTTCTGCTGGGTTACTGAAGGTTCATCAAGATAATCCCCAAATACTTCTGTTTTAAACAATATTTGCAAAATGTGTTTTAGGGGAGCATCACCAGCTGTAGAAATGTAGCTTCTAGATAATACTGAAAATCCAAATGCAAAACCAGATCAAAATCTCTCTATTTGGATGAACTTTCTGCAAGCTGTTGAACCAAGGTGATAGCAGGAGGCTCAGATCACATGATGTAACAAAATCCACACTGTTACCACAGCAAAGCAGTGTGGGTTTGGGTGGGTGGCACGGGGAAGAGAAACTTTCTCTCGGGTCCGGAAACTCTGTCTCAGGTTTCTAACGTGTAAGGCTTGTTGATGACTTTATGGGGTTTTTTTGGGGTTGGTTTTTTCAATCTGTTTTTCCAATATGCTGGTTAGGTAAATGAAATCCTTTCTCTTTGTTTGTAAACCTTGTGGTGTTTATCACTGAAGGACCCCTATTTCTATGGCCATTCTCTGGTTATTGCTTGGTTTTCTGAAGATAGTAATTCAGTGGGGAAAGAAAATTGGTGCTGACACCACAGAGCTGAAAACCAGCCAGTGTACTCTAGTAATATTCTCTGCTTCTTGTTTGGCTTTTGCTAAAATACTGCAATGATTTTCATGACTCTTGCACAAAGCAGCTACAAAAAGAAGTCCAGTTAACCAGGACTTCCAGTAATCATGTTCTTAGCTTGTTCTATCAGTTTTCCTCTTTCATTTGGCTCAAACAGCTAAATAAAATAGCAGTTTATTTTGGCTAACTGTATGATGGGATTAAAAGCTTTAGTGAGAAAGATGTTTGGTTAAGCTCAGGCCCTATCACTTTTTGGAATCTCGGGCAAAATTTGCAAAGCTAGATGGAATATTAGGGGCAGCTTGAACCAGGAGTTAAGCTAATGCTTTAAAAGTAGAGCTGCTCCTACATCTTCTGTGCTGAAAGAAAAAATAACAAACCAAATGAAATATGTGCTCCCTTATGGGAAAAATTAAGTTGTGCAATGGGCATGCTGTCCCAGTGATCTATTGCAACTGATATCAGCAATTTCTGCCTCAAAGTTCTCTCTTCTGAAACACAACTGAGCTGTATTTAAGACACTTAGCCATGTCATTGCCACTTCTTTAATGGTTTAGCTGTCGCAACAGAACAGATTTTTTTTTTTAGTGGCAGAGAGCACCAAAATTAGCCTGGTCTGCATGTTGGAGCCTTTCTCCCTCCTGCACTTCAAAGCCTTTCAGCCTCTCACTAGTTTCCTTTCATCACACAAAATGTCAGTGTGGAAACTTCTAAAATGCCAGCAAGGTACTCCTAAAAGGTGTGAAACTGCCTGGTCCTCCAAATGTCAAAATCAGCTACAGGGGAAGCTACTCAGGGTATGGCTATTTAGTTTTAATATCACACCCTGTCATGTTGTAGAATATTCAGCTGTAGACACCTTTGCCTACATGGATAGCTAATAAGGCTGAGCAATTAGCTGACATTTTTCCACAGCTGACTTTAACACACTTGTCTTGCATACAGCACCTTGTGACTTGTTTAGCTAGGAGGTATAAAAGGTAGAAATGCTAGCAAGACACCAGGCAGAGAGAGAAATGGCATTTGCCTTTCTGTATGTGGGATTTCAAGGACTGTGTTTGAGCTTGGTTTGGAATAAAAATTCTGTTTCTAAATCCTTGGGATCACTGGGCCATTTTATTAGGTGTGTAACAGTAATTTTGTTTATGGCCTATATGAATAATTATATTGATCATCTATTTCTTAAAGACTGGGTAGGGCTGGAAGAGTTGTCAGGGCACCCCCTGCCATGTTTTCTTCTTCTGAGTGATGCCAAGACAGAGTGCACTTGGTGATCTGTCAAACTTGTAAAAAACTCTACTAGAGAGCCTCACTGCTGTTTTCTCCTTAATTCAGAAACTCCTCCACCAACTGACCAAGTAAAGTCACCTTTTTTTCTGTCCTCCTCTCACCAGAATCTTGTTTGCACTCTGATCATGTCTACTTCTCCTTTAAAGTTTCTTGAAAAGAGTAAACATGACTGTGGAGGAGATTCTGGGAAAATCAAAACAACTTACAAGAAGTAAAAAGGAAAGAAATGAAAAGAAAAAAATCCAAGATGTTTACATATATAAATTTGTTTATTTATATTCTCTTCTTTTCAATGTTGCACAACTTCTACATCACATTAATTCAAAATTAGTATTATTTTCATGATTTATGACTTAGGAACTTTTATACATTCAAAAGTACCACTACCTACATATGCTCTACCTTCCTCCCTTCTTTGAAATTAATGCTGAAACACAAGAAACATGCACATGTAAGGTTTTAGAGTAAAGTTCTTTGGTCAGGTCCACCTTCCACAGTAAAGAAACATGAGCAAGACACAGCAGCAATAAAGGTGATCCCTTTGCCATTTTGCAGGAGTAATGACTGTATTTTTGCTTCACATGGCAAAACTATCATTTTGACAGACTCAACACCAAAAATCAATTTGTTTTTACACTTGTGTTAATAAACACTGAAAGAAGTAAAACAGCAAGTGGTTTCTTTGCAGAGAACCCTTGCTGCAGTCTGACAGTGCTGGATTGGCAGGGAGGAGGGAGACAGGCAGAGTGGCAGAATCACAATAACACTGCAGCACTTCAGCCACTGAACTCCACATGTTCAGTCCAGTGCTATTTAGTAGGATGGTGACTCTACACAATGATCCAAAGTAGTAAAATTCCAAGTCTACTACAGGCATTGGATATTCACCAGCTGCACATAAATCCTGTGCTTTCAATACTGGCACCCCAATCTGTGAGAGTAAGTACCTCTCCTTTGCCATGAAAAATTTCAAACACTTAAGAAAAATCACATCCTTTAATGTTTTAAAACATTATCTCTATTCCAAACAATTCAGATATTTCCTTTAGAGTTAGGAAGTCCTAACATCTAGGATGAAATATTAATGCTTTATGTTGAAAGGGTGCTAAGCAGTGCAATGCCACAAACAGCCTTTGGCTCCATTTCTGTGGCATGGGGTGAAGGAAGGTGGCTGGACATCTCACTCATGTGTCTCTGTGACAATTCAGCCACATCAGTCCTTTTGGGATGACAAACATAATTCCTTTTAAATTGCCTTAATAAAGAAGAGTTTCATTAAAATTAGACTTCCATCTGAAGTATATGTAAATAAAAAAACATTGGCTGGCACAGTCAGCATGGCTCAGTTTGGAACATGAAGCACTGTGTCACTCAATCCAGAGCAATGGCCTCTCACCTTCACATACCCATAAACAGAACAATGACACAAATAATACTGCAAGCAACACCCTGCTCTTCTTGGGTTGGTATCTTTTCATTTTGCCTTCTGTGGGTACTCTGAAAGGCATGACTTGACAAACATTGCTCCAGAACTAATACTTCTGATTCATATTAAATAGATACAATACAGTCACATTTCATTTTCTTTTAGTTACAGTGCAATTTAAGTTAAACTATTCTTCTTAATATATTTTTAAACTGTAAACTACACTAGAAAGACACAATAGTTTTATTAATTTCATGATTTTTTATCTGAAGTTGTCTGTGAACTTGTATGTAACAAAATCAGTTACATTTCTATGTCAAATTACCATTTACTGAAGATAGGGACAGACTTTAAGTACTGGAGGACTAAGTCCACTGCCCCCAGGGCAGACAAGTGACAACTACTACTTGAAAGAGGTAATCTCCAATTACTAACAGGCTGCTAAAATCTACCTAAGAATTTATCTGTTCCTATAAATTAACTCTGTGGGCTTTGGTCAATAATGATACAATTTACCTGGCAAGTCTCCGTAATTCTTTCTTCTCAAAGAATTGAATTGAAAGCAGCATTTCAAATGGACAAGTAGTCAAATTGCAAAGAGCTCCTGCTTGAAAATAATTTTGTAAGAATCCAGTTCCTCAAGTGATTTGAGACTGTTTAACAGAGGTAAAAATGTGCTACTTGATTCTGGACCAGCAGGAGCCAGTTGCTCCTCAGTACAGGCAAAAAGTTGGCAGAATTTTCCAGTCCTTTGGTTTTACGGAAGTAACAGCTTCTCATATTGGCAGAACTTAATGTTCTCAGAACACACCTAGAAATGATGTGGCAAACTGTATATCCTGCCATAATTAGCACTTCTTAAAGGCAGCTTTCTCTTGCAAAGCTCAAAGCAAGTTCCAATGACAAAAATTCTTTAAAAAATATTTCAATACTCGTATTAATGAATAAAATATGTCAAAAATGTTTGGATGCTATACTCACTACCTAATACTCTGTGTACAAAAGCAGACATATAAAAAGAGCACCTGACCTTGCTCAGGTGAGAAGAACTGAAAGTGGTTTCCTGGATCATGGTACTAAAGGCACCATGGTATTTAATCCCTTTCACAGAAAGCTTCAAGCCTAAAGAGCAGTTAGGCTGCCTCTGGTAGCTTTCACTAACAAAGATCCCCACAGAACATCAAAATTCTAATCCTCAAAATTATTCTAATTTCCAGCCAAAATTCTTATCACAGCCTGTTAATTCTTTTGCAAACCCTGCCTTAAATATTAGGAAAGCTTGCCTCTCAGTTCTCACCCAGATATGTACATTTCCTTGGTATGTTTGTGCACAGGCCAAGAAAGAAAGATGACAATCACTTTGAGTCCTTGGTATCCTGCCAAATGATCAGCTCACTGTTCTGCCTATTCATCCTTCTTGAACATCAGTGAGCAAGACATTGTCTAATCTGTTTCAAGTCTGAAAAATAAAGGCAACAGTTGTCCTCCCCAGTTACATGGATGACCACTACAACTGCCCTAAGAATCATGATTTTACATTTGTGTCTACTAGTTCTAGAAAAGTGCAATGTATAGAGGGTGCATTCAAGTTACAGCAATTTTATTTCCCTCCTTTTGAACCATATACGTTTGAAAATTAAGTTATTAAATTACACTGAGTCCAGCACACCTGGTTCCACTGTCTTGTAGACTTTGTTCAGAAACACTTCCACCTTGTCATCACCCAAGTGACACATGTCCAAGATGCAGATAACATGTTTGCCATCGAGCTCCTTTGCAGCTTTTACAATTTCATCTAGAAGTTAAGAAAGATGGTTTTAAAAGGTATTTGCTGTATACTCTGTCCAGAATAAAAAGGTCTACAGAATTGAAAGTGTTCTCCATACAGTAATGTTCAACCTTCTTTCAGTGAAAAATTTTATTCATAAATTCCATCACTAGAAATGACAGAATCAGAATTAGATATGAGTTTGTAGTTTGGATGTTAAAATACTGTTTTCAGAGGATGAGAACAGCTCCAGCAAAAACTGCCTTGAAAGTTCAGTATTACAGCAATATACTAAAGGTGGTGAAATAGAATTCACATCTCTTTCACTGAAGAGGTGAACAATGTCTGATCTACACCAGAGATTTCTACAGAGGGTTAACTCTTGCACTGACAGATAAACCAAGAAATGATAAATGAGTAACATCAGCGAAAGGCAGCCTCACCTGAAAGAGGAAACGTGTCACCAAGCCTCCCACTGCTGGTGGCCTTCTGCTGGCAGGCAGAGATACAACTCATACAAGACAATAATGTATCATTCTGAATGTCTTCCAGTTGAAACAAGTGGGGATTGTCAGGGCAAAACAGTGGAAGAAAAGCAACATCTATTGCTATATCATGGTTTATACCTGTTGAAGAAAAAATATTTTATGTCAGCAGAAAACTTCATATTCAGCCCATCAGCAACTTTGTGCACCACTTCTCTTTTTTTTTAAACAAACCACTGAACTGATTTTTATTTACATCTTTTGTCCATTAGTTAATAATTAATGCCTAAAAATATGTCTCTACATAGGATTATGCACAAGCACATTCAAATTGATAGGATGTTATGAAATACTATTGTTTAAGGCTAACAATGCTGATAGTTCAGAAAACATTAAACCTTGGAAGCCATTTCATCCTCCTTTTAACTTTATCTGCAAATGCAGAGAAATTAACTTTATAAAGTGTGCAATACAGTGTTACTTTCATCTTCAATATTGTATAGTCAGTCTCAGGATTCCAATGACTTCAAATATTCTCTGCAAATGTCCCTTAGCAAATAATGAAAATCTTTAAATTATGGGAACTTAACATGAGCACTGTTAATCAAGGCAATTTCTGTCCCTTTTTAAAGGGAAAACAAAATCAAACTTAATAACTCCCAATGAAGCTAGCAAAGAGATACACATCAACTTGCATATTTATATTTTAATAAATAAAAAACAATCAACTGGCACTTCATGCTAACCAGAAGCAGCATGGAGCAGTTAATGAGTATTGCTAAAATACAGCCTTTCATTTTCTGCCATGGAGAGAAGGCACTGAAAAGATCAACTCAATGAGAATAATGCTGAAAAGAAGCATTTATAGTTGTCTTTAAGAACACTGACTTGTTTCTGATAAACACCTCTCCAGCAGAAAGTTAGCTGGCAAGTGCAATTTATTAATTTGCCTGATTACATCAGGACCTAATCCTAACTGAAATAATCAACAGTTTAAGGACTAAACACATTCTTCAAATAACACTCGTAAGACTATGCCAAAAACTGAATTTATACAAAAAGCGTTCCTACAAATAAGATATTCAGGCATTTCATTGAAAAGTATGTTTAATGAGAATAAAATTTACCCTAAATGGGGACTCTAACAAAAATCTAAAATGTCAATAATTTTTCAAACCTCAGGAAATACTCAGAATCAACTGATTCCCTTAGAGAAATCCATTCAATTTCTGATGAACTTACATTGCTCTTGCTTAACCTTTTTTACACTGCAAGCTACTTACCCAGAACTGTCACTTCATAATATCCAAGGCCAATAGCACTTTTAAATTCATTGATGTTTTTATCTATTCTGGCTTCTATTGGCTGGTGCACTGCTGCATGAAGGTTGTACTGTTGCATAAGTAAGTCTTTGTGCACATAATCAAATTTACGTGGGATACTTTCTGGGAAAATTTTGCTGTGATGAAAATAATTCATTAACTTGTCTTTCACTTGTGCCCACAGGTCACTCTGCCAGGAACCACAAGTTCTCCCAGGCTCTTCAGTTTCAGCTATATTATTGACTCCTTCTTGATCTATTATAAGCACAGAAAACTTTTAGTTGCTTATGTAATTGTATCACTCCTCTGTTAAATAAGAAACAATTTCCATTAGAACATTTCAATTACAAACACATGGCAGAAATGAAAATAGCTATGAGAAAATGTGAGGTCTTATGCTATAAAGTGCTTCTGAGATACCAACCTAACTTAAAACTTCTATAAAGATATACTGAGAATTTATTGCCCATAATGGGAAACAATCCAATGCTGTCCTTTCAGCCATCCCTTAGAAGGCAGCAGGGAACATTGAGTAAAATGACATTCATGATACATTGCTACAGTGGTTCCCCAGAGGCTGATGCAAACCAGATGTTCAGAGGAACTGTCTTAACAAAGGTTATAAGGATATCTTTGTTGCCTGGTTTGGACCTGAAGAAAAGTAGTCTTAAGCCTCCTAAGGTTAATATAACAACTATTAGCAACATACCTGTGCAATACTGCAAACTGTCTGACACAGCCTGTCCATTTTTATCTTGCACAGAATGTCCATGCTGATATTCATCTAAGCTATAAAAAGAAAATTATAGTGTGTATATGTATACATATATTTATTGTGACAGTTGTACACAGCAGCTGGACACAACAAGTAAACACAATTTACTTGTGCTCAGTAAATCAGCTCAGCAGAGCTCAGGACTGGCTGATTCCTGGCTTTGGGAAACAGACGGGAGGGTTCGACACTGGCAGCGGTGTCTGCTGCCCTCTACCGGCAGAAAACACCACGCGTGACACGGCCAAACACAGGTGACCGACAGGTGACCGACAGTGACTCGATGGCAAAGCCCGTGCTCAGCGTGCGGCTGCACCGCCCTGCCATCCCCTCCAGCACCAGGAACACAGCACGAACGGAGCCATGGCACCACTCCGGAATCCAAAACGACAGAAATGCCAAATCTCTATTTTCCTGTGGACATACTGTCCAGTTGTAATGACCAGTTCAATTAAGCAAACTAGGTATTTGTTAGACTTTTTTTTAATCATAAAGTTTTGAATTATTGGTAAGAAACTATTCTTTATCAATAAATTACCTAGGATATTATGCAGGAGAAAAACATAAGAGGCACTCTGCAAGCAAACATAAGCTCTTAGGCCCAGGTACTCCTTTCTTCTTTCTCCTCTTATTAGAATAAAACCCACTGTGATGTCTGAAAAAACTTAGGGAAAGGACTATCTTGATTATCTTGCATCACAAACAACTGAAACAGGTAAGACTTTGTTAAGGCACCATTAAAATTCCTGACCATCAAAGTAATTAATAATAATGGCAAGATACAGACAGTAAAAAAGGAAACAAAGATGAACATGCTGTTTACAGCATATTGTATTGATATTAAATTTCATAAGGATTTGCAGGTTTTAAAAATATTTTTTCTATTTCATACTAGGGTGTATCTTGAAATTTTCATGGCAACATTTCCTAACAAAGGGAAAATATCTAAAATAGTATCTAGTGAAAAGATAAAAGGAAATGCACTATGGGTTTTGAGTATGAAAGTATATTTTAAGAAATACACTCCCATCATGGATTTATCACCTCTGAAGTGATCTCCCTGTGATGGCCAAATCTAGGCACAAAACAATCCTCACTTAAGCAGTACAATCTGTGAAATTACTGCCCACAAAATTAATTGTCACTTTTGAGATTTGGACCTGTCAAACATAAAATGAAACTCCAGCACAGTGTTAAGGAAGGCTTGCTCAGAAACCAACATGTCAAGTTAGATACATAACAACTTCTCTCCTCATTAAAGCAGAGGATTAAACCAAGTCCTACTGCTGACAAGTAGATACTGTGGAAAGTGGATATCATGGGTTCTTTTCTTTTAAAGTTGTCTAGATTTGGAAGTGAACAGGCTCTGATTTAAAGCAAGCAGATCCTCAGGAAAATACGAAGAAAACTTGTCATGATTTTTCCCCACTTCTTTCACAGATCTGCAGCTGGGATAATTCCTACCTGCCCAACACATTATTCCTCCAGGCCTGCTTTGTGCTGGATGTGTGGACAGCCTGACCTGAGCAAGGCTTGTAAGGGAAACTACTTGTCTTTAATTCATCCAGGTGCTTCTTTGTGAGTGAACCACCATGTCTGCAATGCACCTGAGGCCACCCAAATCCACTTACTGCAATGTGCTCCTGCTGTGGTACACCTAAACACCCACAGCCTATTTCAGCCATGCCAGCTTTAGGAGAACTTGTGCCCTGCCAGATTTGCTGTTTCCAGCCTGCACTCTGCAGACCTCCCTTTTCACAGATGTCCACTTGAAAAAATCCTTTCTTCACTATTTTCAGATACATTGATACTCAATTTGTCAGTCATTTTATTTTAAAAAATTGTCATCAAAAATAACATCAATCAAAATATATGGCAGATCAGTATTTTCAGAAACTATTGGGAAAGTAAGCACATCTCATGCTTCACACCTATTTCCCAAGCACTGGGACTAAATGTGATAAATGAAATTAAGAAAAAAAATATTTATGACTCACCGCTATGCCCAAACAATGCAAGGAAGTAAAGTGCCTCAAAGCAATACAAGAAAACATCTCACTCACTGATAAAACTGGTAAAACTTTTTTATAGACTGGCTTGAAATGAACTGTTCTGACACCATTGTGATAAACACATCTACCACAGCAAGCAACATAGAGACCCAAAAGCCTTCTATGAGAACTTGATAAGTCTACACAAATTGATTTTTAGTATCTACTAATTTCTCCCTGACAGGTTCTGATTTATGTGAAAAAGAGTTGTGAAGGAAACATCCCACGCTGTGAAACTTTTGGTCATACAAACCTCAAGATGAATTTCCCTAAATTACAGAGTCCCCATTCCCTTGCTGTCACATCCACGGGAAGGAAAAAATATAAAAGGGTCTACGTGACAAAAAAATACAGAAGTGAAACTACAAAGACAGAAGCATGCAAACAAGTTCATTTCATGCAGTATGGAGAGGGAGCATGTAGTGCAGCAATTGCATGGTAACACACTAAATTTACAAAGATTAACATTCCAAGAAAACTACTGTGCTTGTTTCACTTCCACATAAAAATAATCCTGTCTGAAATTCCTGACCTTTCCTCATTCGCCATCACTTCATTATCTATAAATTAAATTCCTTTGGAATACATTAAATTCTTAAAGTATCATTATGTGGAAGATCTTTACTAGCAAGGATATAAATATCAACAATAATACTAAATTACCCACTTGCTTTGTTTCTGAAACCCTTAAAAATCAAGTAAGTTACCTCAGAAATGCAGGAACTGTAGCTGTCAATACAAAGCCTCAAAATAAGCTCTTACTGCTTAAAAACCCAAAAATGAAACTGCATGCTGAAAATAACATACAAAAAACTTGATGCTGAATAGTTTAAGTTAGAACATGTACTTTGAAACATAACTCCACTATTGGATTCAATGATCCTTGTGGGCCCAACTCAGAATTTTCTCTTAAATATGTGAAGTATGTTAAAATTCCTGTTGTTATTTCATCAATATATTAAAATATTTCAGTGAGAGCTGACATTCTGCTACATCTAAGGAACGGAAATCAATGCAATTTCAAAGTATGTCAGCTAACTTTTTCTTTGGCAATTTGGAGAATTCAGCACAATTCTATAGGTAGTTACAGAAATACATGAGTTACCTTTTAATTATATAGAGTGAAACAGCTTTCCATAATCCAACACAGCCTTTCTCCTCCTTTAGCTGGGGTTCTAGCACTAATGGCATAGAGTGGACACACAGGTAGCGAGGAGAGTAGCAGATTGAGAAAAGCAGAGAACAAAGTAAACATGCCTTAACTTCTGGCTTCACCTATAAGAAATGGGGAGAAGACATTCTTCCCATCCTCCCCCCACCCTGGAAAAAGAGGAACATTTCTCAGCAAGCAAAAGAAAACAAGATTCCTTACAGTCAAGGAAAATCTCCTGATTTTCGTATGGATTTGTATCACAAGTCCCTGCAAAGTCCTGCACCACCTGCAGAACCTAAAGCCAGGTGATGTTTTTAATGAACCAGCTGCAAAGTTAGGTAATAACTTCTCCTAGAAAATGCAGTTTCTACCAAAAGAACCAGGAAACAACACGTGGGTTCAAAAGAGCCTCATTTATCCCATAGAAAAAGCTGTTGCAAATTAGCTTCCAGTAAATGTGTTTCAAGAAAATAGGCATGCTGGTAGGGGAGCAACACTGGCAGAATGGTCAAAAACTTTGTTGCCCTATTCCTAACACTGTAATTCTTGGGTTTAGGAAAGGAAGAAAGGGAAAAGGAAGAGATGCTAAAAGTAAACCAAAAAGGCAATGAGCCATATATGTAGTCATGACATAAATCCAGATCACTGCCAAAATACACAAACATCCTAAATTACTGACACCAAGGAGTTCAAACTTTCAAGTTGCTCATGTTCTGCCTGGAACAAGTGACAAGAATTTACAGCCCTTAAAATGCTCATAGGAAAGCAGCTTCTAGCCCCTGGTTAACAAATAAAAGCACTCACTCAGTTTTCTTAATAATTTCACTTTTGTAATTACTTCAGTAGGTTCCAGACTTGACAGGGCTCTGGGTTTGAAACTCCTCTGTGGAGTTCAGAAAAAGCCAAGCTGATTTATGTAACTCCTGAATGCTGGGGGGTGAAAGGAGCAGGGGAGTGGCTTCCCAGGGACAACTATACTTACACCTCTGCAGCACCAAGAAAAATGTACAGCTCAGCCACCACCAGAAAATCCATTCATTACCATGATGAACCTCTGTTATTATATATTCCCTTAGTAGAAATAGTAGCAATAGAAGATGTTTAATAACATGCCCAAAATTATGTTTCAGATATATTTAGAGTGAGTGCAGATGAGTGAATAGAAAACATGCAACTCTACCCTGATCTGTTCTTTCAATTTGCTTCCTTAGAGACTCCCAATCTGTAAAACTTTTACTGGGAGTATTTTTGTTTGATTACTGCAATTATTCAACACAATTAATTTCACATGACTTACCCAAGTTTTCTTCTTACAGTCCGTGTAAAATAGGGGTGAGATGATACAGGAGTAACAGATGTACCTCCCCTTAAAGTAGGAAATTCACCATTACTTTTCAGTATCTATTTAAATGGAAATTCACAAAGCAAAGAACTTTGATGTTTTTCTTTCAGGCAGAACTAAACTAAGACACTCAAACACTGGAAGTTTTCATATGGAAAAGAATCCACTAAATTTGCTATAACACTGCCAAGACAGAACTTCTATTTACCAAGGTTTTCATAATACTAAATGTTCATTCAATGCTAATTATATTTTATTTCATTTCCTCTCAAAATATACTAAATATCCACTCTCTTCACACATTATGACTTATGAATGTGAAAAGCAAAGAAGAAAAATATACCCTTTATAGTATGAGAAATCCACTGCAAAAAAACCAGATGTGACAGGCCTGACTTTTGAAACTTTCCATCTGTCAATGTGTACACCAGGCTCCCAGTAGTGAGTATGGCTGTACTAGATTTTACACAAGTGTTGCAACAAAGAGCAGTCTTATAAAAGCAGTTACTTTATTCCAGAATTTAACACAGCTGTATCAAACAAACTAAAAGTTATTTTGAGCCCTTAAGTTAGCACATGACCACCATCTACTTTCCTTTCTGACAGCAAGCTACAGCTACATGCACTACCCCATTGCCCAGAAATCAAAAACAAGGTGTGTTTGAAATTAAGGAACAGGTATACCTGATTCTGCATTTTCAGCCAAGATGTCTGACTTCCTCACATCACTGTAACTGTTGTTTGTTCCACAGCTATGTCACTAAACTACATTTGGTTCAAGTATTAACTACTTTTATCTCAAATCTGTGAGCTTAATAAGAAAACAGCATAAATATTAATCAGAAGAGAGCACCACAAACCTACTTTAATTAATCCTTCATTAGCATGAACAGTGTAACTACCATCACCTGATGCCAGGAAAAGAACATAATTACATTTCAAAGATTAAATTATATATGCTTTTAAAGCTCTCTTGTTTTCTACAGCCTGGCCTCTGGCTTAATTTCTGAAAGCAGTTTTTAGAAGATGCACCACATATTAATGAAGAGAGCTTACTGTTCTGCATCTCTTCTGTATCTGTGTGGTGTCCTTCTCTTGACTGAACTCCTTTTTGACAGTGGAGCTTGGGGCTGATGCTCCCCAGGAGTGCAGGGTGGCCCCAGAAAAGACTGAATTTCTTCATGTTTTCCCTGGTCAACACAGTCTTCTTTGGACACAGAAGAACTTCCAAGAGATTGAGAGGTATCTTTCTGCAACAACAGTTAATTGTTTAAGAATTTCAATGCACTTAAAGCTACTTCTTCCAGCTCAAAAACTTGCAAATTTCTGACAGTCAGCTTACATCTAGCAGAAATTATATTCTAATTATATTAATAAGGTAAATTCAATTTAGAATGTGACAAGTGAGCATGTTGCAGCAGTGGCCTCTCCCACACTCCAATTTACACGAGGTAATCAGTCAAACTAGTAACTTTGAAACAGTTACAAGCTTTACAGAGGACTGCCAAAACACTTTCAGAGAAGCACTGAATCATCACTTTTTAAAATTTTGCTCTCAAAAATCAGATTAAGAGACAATGTAATGAGATTCTGAACTCATATGCAAAACTCTCCATTCTAATGACAATCACAGCTGCTTTGGCATGAACTGTCACACACCATACCTGGACCAGGTCCCCTCCTGGGGCTTCCCCAGCTGCATTGCCACAGCTGATGTATCTTATGGCACTGATTATGCCCTGAACAGCAATTCGCTTGTGTTCTCTGTAGTGCAGGTCTTCAATCTCTTTCCCTATTTCACCTATGGGTTTCAAAACTGATTCAACTGCAAAAAAGAAATTTCCAGAATCAAGTTTTAGTGTCATATAATACCAAAATCTCTGAACACAAGACTAAAGAGAAGATTTACTAAATATTAAATTGATTTAAACTTATGCTTTTAAAGAATTCTAAACCTTTTAGTTATCCACATCACATGGAAAAAAATTAAAACGATAAATCTTTTTTGTGCATAAGAATCTGTTAGTATGCATTGTCAGACACCACAATTTCTGAACTGGTGAAATTTCCAGTTCAGAATGACTGTTTTTAATTTTGATGTAGCAGAATATTCAGAGTAAATCTTCTGGGTATATGTGTAGCTACCCTCAGCTTCCACAATTCTCCTGCAGCTAGCAGTGCAATATTTTTTGTGAGGTGAGGATTTAGCCTATGAAACATTTAGTCACAAAATCAAGTTTTCCTGGAGTAAGACTGACTGGAAAAGGCCACAAATCTAAAGATATTTAATATGTGATACCTTCATTGTTTTTACAATATTTCAAAAAGCTATCAGGAGGCCGTGGAAAAGGGTAATAGCCACCGATGACAGTTTTCTTTATTTGATCAGCTTCACTTTGAGATTCCATCCACTGAATGAAGTTTTTCACTTTGGCATCCTTGGTGTATGGCTGGCCCTTGTGCCACCCTTTTAAGACAAAAATAATCAAATATCAAAACCAAAGCAGGCAACTGACATTTGTTGTCATTTTCAAACTCCCTTGAACACTACCTAGAAAAAACAAATTAAGAAAATCTTGAGAGTACAAAAGATGTCTTTTGTCAAGAGTGTTTCACAAATTGAGTACCTTGAATTCCTTGACTACACTTACATTTGACACTGAATGTCAGACAAACAATAACAGAAAAACCAAAACAACTAGCAAAAAAGTTCCTAGAATAGCAAAGCTGCAAGTGTTTTTTAATATATTAAGTGGTAACCACAATTGCTACCCTATCAAAATATGAACAGCCTGAAAGAATTAGGAAACATGTGTTTTAACCTAGAAATACTTTTTATAGATAAATCCATTTTAATGCCCTACAAGAATGCCATGTGCCTTCTTGTCTTCTGCAGTGATGTTTCCCTATTACCTCATAGTCTCTACTGACTGATTGTGCTGTAAAATGAAAATACCCTTTCCAAAGAAACAACATGAGAACTACATAAAACTAGAAGTAGTTTAAGTTACCTTTAATGAATATTTGACTTTCATTTGAAGTTGTAAGGTAAACTGTCCTGGAAGGATTCTCAGTCATCACTCTCATCTGTGTGCACACCAAGTATGTCACTGGAGAAAAAAAAAAACTTCATTTTTTTTTCCCGACAGTTCATTGATTTTAGAATAGCAAGACTGACACACACTGGATTGATTTTATTAACCCATCTAAACAAGGCACTTTTGTTCTTGACCCTAGTGCCTAGTCTCCATTATAAATTACCATATGGACATGTAATTAAATCTTGAATTTAATTTTAGCATAGATATTACAACTGAAACACGAGATACTTCATCAGATAGGATATCATTGAAACAAACAGTGCAAATATTGGTATTAGATAGCTGTGTTTCTTAAGGATAAAAAGTATAAAATCATGAGAAATTATGGCATGCTTCTAAACAGAGCTCAAACTTACTCTTTTGTTAGTATCTCAGTTAAACACTGGAATGTCATTCCTTCCCACTTCCCCAGAACACTCAAGATGAATGCAGCCATAATGTAAGCAGGATTGTGCAGCTGGTGCTGCATCAAATGATAAAAAAATGCATATTAACACCAACCAGTGTTAAAAAAAGAATGAGTGCTTGGAGGAGAAGAGAGAGAAGGGAAGAAGAAATATTTAAAGCTCTTTTAAAATCCTTCATTAAGGATTCCCTAGTTTAAAATTTATTAGTCTTAGCTCATGTGTGATAACTAACACAGCTGAGTGATGATTGCTGTTTGGGCAAAAAACACTGTTTCAAAGAAATGAAGTTTTTCTACTTTCACCTCTGTCTTCATTCAATTCTCTTAAATTACTCCTGTCTATAAAAAAAGCAGATATTTACAGATCAAGAGGAGCAAGAGATTTGACCAGCTGCTTTTAATTGCCTCTGATGCAAGAGATGCCCAGGTTCTTCTTCACAGAAACATCTGAAATGAAGGAGATCAGAGCAGCCCCGGGCCCAGCTGCCCATCTAATTGTTTATGCTAACTGACAGGCTGCAATTTGGAAGGGTTTCGAATTTTTTTATTCTTAAATTTTAATTTCTGATCCACTATCTTCTGCTTGAGGAGATAAATTGTGGCATTTTTTATTTAGTGACAACTAATCCCAGAATTAGAAATTCACAATGAACTAGAAAAACATTAAGAATAATTATTAGTATTATAGAGAGATGAATACTTGGATGAATATGCTCAAACACATCTGGCTGAGAAGTTGCAAACAATTCCAGTACGAACGGCTGGTCCGAGGTGCCATCAATGGCATGTGCCCAACGATACAGCCAGAAGTCTTCACTGTGTTCTAGACAAACAAATATTAAGAAAAATGTATAAGCATTTACTTAGAACTTTAGAAACTATTTGATAAGTTCTGAAAGTCATATTTATAGAAATACCTCTTTTTCTGGCTCGCTCAGCCCTTCCTACAAATGTCACAAGACCAATAACATCACAGGAATGATTGCGTGGTAAGGCATCCAGCTCTGACCTAAAAGCAAAATAGAAGAAAGCTGGGTAAGCTTTCTCAGAACCTCTGCAAAAAGCATTTCCAATTTACATTCACTGTAAGGCAGTGTAATTTAAATTCCAGCTTGATAACCAACAAAATTCTATTTACCTTGTGATAAACCTATATTTAACTTCAGGTAATCCCCACTCTGGCTTAACCATTTCTTCTGGAATAATGCTTATTTCAGTAGGAGGATCCCGAACATTGAGGCAAATTTCTGACAAAGAAAAACAAGGTAACATTTATGGCATAAATACAAATTATCATCATCACCATTAACATTGTTATAATAATATTATAACAAAGGTATCAACAACCCATAAAGAAACTGGGGTAAAGTTTCTTTAATATTCTGACTTTGTGAAACCATTCATCAATTTCTCTGAGTTCAGGTTTTCATCAAAATAAAATAAGAATTCAGGTACAACAAAGCAATTTTATCACCTGAGTAATGTTAAACTCTTCAACTGCCAATGAGAGCCTACAATCCAGGCAGTATTTTAACAGGAACTAATCCAACCATTCTGATTACACACAAAGTACTTTTTACACCAGCTTTGCTGTCAAATGCCAGTGAGGTCTGAAACTCATGTGCAGACAATGAAGTAAAACACAACTGGAGCATGAGAATTTCCATATGTGATGCCAGTTCAATAGGATAGAAATACACCATGGCCATGAAGGAAAACAAAAGGTCTTCTCATGCCTATTCTACAGCACCTGAACATTTTAATTTATTTCTCAGACTGTTTTGATGCTAAATTACAAACGTGGTGGAGCACTGGGGCAAGCAAGGTGTTCTTCAACCAGATGAAAAAATACAGGAATAGAGGCTTCAGCTTCTAGAATACACAAGGCAGTACTCTGTAGTCTCATAACAGGACAAATGTTGCTGGTATATAAAAGACAGATTCTGATTAGTTTTCTTGGGTTTGAGTAAGGGATTATTCAAAAAATGCACCCAGGGAAGAAATTAAGTAGATATAAATAATACATACAACTGTTTATGTAATTATACCTGGTGCCTCACCCTGGCAGTGCAACATTTGGAAGGTGTTCTACTTCAAGTCAGAGCCTCTACTTAGGAATGCTCTCTAGGCTTCTGCTTTCTAGAAATGCATTCAGAGAACTGTGGTGGTTTTGCATATGGTTGTTTAGGACAGTACTGCCACGAAAATTCCTGAAACAAAACTTTCCCATGCATCAAAACTATTTCTCAATTGTTTAATTATTTTGAGATTAAATGAGAGTCATACACTCAGGTCAGGATTACACAAAGGCTGTCATCAGTGCCACACAAACCCACTGCTGTGTGAATCTGAAATACACACACTGCCTGGCAGGGGAATTCAAGGCATTGGTACCAAGTTCCAAAGGTTTTAGGCTGTGAAATGGCACCTCTCAGCAAGTCCCACAATGCTGCAGCTGCAAACAGGGGCTAGCAATGCAGAGATTGCACAGCAGTCGAGGGATGTGCCTGAAGCACAGCACCTTGCAGAACTCTCCATCTGGAAACCCTTTAACACTGGGGAATTGATAACTCTCCAGACACACTGTACAATATTTGCAGGTGAGTGGTTCTAAGGACACACTGGAAAGTTGGGATTTGATGGCATTACAAATTTAAAACAAATGAAGGAAAAAGTAATTGTTACTTTTGTGATTTAGTGTAATTGAAACCTGAAATATTGCCCCACATTGGGCATACACAGAGGTACTTAGTGAGGTAATAATTTCACTTCATCTGAACAAAAAAAAAAGAAAAAAACCACTCATGCAATGGAAGTTGCACAAAATCCATCTTACAAATGCTCTAGAATTTTTTCTGGATATTTTGTTTTCTTGTGACTCTGTTCTTGTATGACATGTGGTCATACCCTCCATCCATGCATCATGGGAATACGTGAACTCATATTAACACAAAATTCTCAGCTTTGTGCAAAGAACTGAGATCCTGTACATACTTTTCTATGAACCAAAGATTTACAGTTTCTGCAGTTTATTTGTGCACCATGGTGCTCTCCAATGGTGTGAATTCTAGTTCTTCCATTATAGAGCAATTACCCTTTACAGCCCAGTGGCTGAGTTGGCCATTTTGATCTCTTTGTTACCATTCCCACCCCAATAATTCTTGTAAGAAATCAGAAGTGCAGAAATGCATGAAAATGCAGATATTTGCACATAGAGAAAGTCACCTCAGATGGCATATTTTACTCTGTCTTCTTTGCATAGAAAGGTTTTGTGGCAATTACAATTGTTTTCAGGGTTGGCTTGTAGTTGTCATCACCTTCCCTCACAAACTTCCATTCCCAGCTAAACATTTCTATCTCCTGCCAAGCCATCACAAATACATCAGACACTGAGATCTGGTTTAAATGCAAATATTTATCAGTCAGGGAAGATATTGCTTCTGGCAGTGAAAACATTGCTTCTTTTTGTTCACTGTAGCTAACTTTTTGTAGCTTCTTTTTGTGCACTGTTTCCTGACTCCATTAGGAAACTGTCATTGTCAATAAGTGATACATACATCACCCTTCACCAACATGCATATTGTTACAATAAGTTATTTGAATTTTCTCAATGTTGGCTGTCATTTTGTTCTGAGTATAAAAGCACAAAATGGGAAAGAGTGAAGGAAGAGAGAAAACAACCCCAAAGCTGAACAAATCCAGTTTGAAAAGGCCATTACTGTTATATTGCAGGACTTGTATTTTTGTAGCACAGCTCCTGTGAGTATCTGCCACACTAAACAACTGGCAAGTAAGACAATGCTTTTTTTATAGTCAAGGAATATTCTTCATACACACTCCCACAGTGATGCTCTTTCAGGACACAGAAGTCATCAGTGCAACTTTTTATTCTGTGGAGCTGTGCAGACACTCTGGGCCTTGACAGTATAAAATCTAAAGTCAGATGAGGTGATAATGTCCTTCAATGACCTGGAAAAATATGTGTGCAGTGTACAAGTGACATGTGTGTTAAGCAGGAAGTAGAATCAGATAAAAATCATTACTAGAGGCCTATCCTTATAATCTCTGTTCCTGATATCAGAGATTCTTTTTTATTTTTTAAACAAAGGTTTTAACTAATTGTGGCAGTAAACTGTGTAGACATGATTGAATATAAACAAGGAAGAGCAAGAACCTGCAAGCTCAGACACCTTTCAGAAGTACTAATTAAGGACTTATACCTTATCAATTAGTCTCAGCAATGGATCACTTTCTATTTTATTTCTATGGAGGGCTACTTTGCACAACTGTATTTTATAGACTCAAAATGGGTTTCTGCAATACTTAACCAATTGTAGCAAATCTCTTCATCTGTGAATCCCCAGGGGTGGGGTGTGTTTTAAACGGGTAACTGGATTTGATGGCATACTTGGCAAGGAGCAGCACTGTGCCAACCTTCATGCTGTGATACCATTCAGGACACAGAGAGTTCCACAAAACCATTGACATCATGCCTGAGCCATCAGCAACTTCAAAGTAAGCCTGAAGGAAAAAAGAGACAATCTACAGTCATCATACTTATTATCATTCTGCTAGGTTTTTATTTTGGATAATGCACAAGTACTTGACTCATAAATGATTTCTCTTGTTACAAATGGATACAGAAGATGTTCCAGAACTTGTACTGAATACTAAGAGTGGAAAGAATTCCCAATTTTTAACCTGTGCAAATGCTGAATCTGAAAGTGAGCAGATCACTAAGCAATTTAAAAAGATTTTTAAATTAACCCACCACACCTCCAGTCTCCTTTTCCAAGAAGTTCAACACAAAAATATCACAAGTTAAATGTATTAGAAAAATCATTAAGAATTTTACAGTAAAATAATCTATCTGAAAGTCAACAGATGAAAGAATCAGGGCCTAGAAATAATTTAAATATAGTGCCTTTTTTTTTTTTTTTTGACAGGACATACTAAGTCCAATTTTCAAAGCACAGAGACCAGAAATGTTTAGGCTGTTAAAGTACTAACACCTCAAAGTATCCTTTTCTTCACAAAAAGCTCAAATGAACTATAGCAACTGAAATTCATCCACTAAAGTTTGTAAATATATGATCATAAAATCCAGCATTTCCTGCTCTAGAGAGCTCAACATTTTCATAAAGGCAGCATTTTCCATATAAAATAGCTATAAAATAACTTTATGCGCTTACTATATGGGAAAAACTATTTTTAAATATCCTACAGCAATCTAAGTGTTGACCTATGCATTTATCACTCTTTACCTGATAAGGCATATCCATTTTTTTCTCTGGTTTTCCATAGTACTTTAGTCTAGATTTGTGCAGGATTCTCACAAGAAGTGGATGGAAATGCACTCTGCTTCTCCATGTCATTTCCAGATGACCAAGATTAGTCAGTTTGGAGACTAAAGTTAAGGGGAGGGGAAAAGAAAAAACCAAAAAAGAGCATTCATGATCGAACATCTAAGTTTTCAGGAGTAAAGTGGCAGGAGGTCACATGTATTTTATTAATGTTTCTAACATTTAACAAGGCTCATCTGCTGATATAATTCACCAATAAAATTCTGTTATGAACTATCTGCACACAGCATAGTTTTGCTCCTCTTTTTAATTGAGACACATTTTAAATGACACAGAAGAGTTGTCTCTTCTGTGTCATTTAAAAGAGTTGGAAGAGCTATTAAAAAACCACAGGTGTCAGCCTACAAGGGCATCACACTCATGCAGAAGTGCTGTTATACCTCTCTCCTCACCAGGCTTCATGGAACGGCCTGAGCCCCCCAACACTGACCACATTTCGGGGGGCAGCATCTAAGTGTGAGCATCCGGCCCCACAGACCAGACACAAGACTACCACTGCACCTCAGGAGACTACAGCTGCATACTTTCAGTCAATGTTTGTAGAGTTTGAAAAACTCTCTCAAAGCAACAAAGAATCACAGAAGGGGTTGGGTTCAAAGGTTCTCGTTCCCTCTGCCGTGGGAGGGACACGCAGCACCACACCAGGTTGCTCAGCGCCCCATCCAAGCTGGTCCTAAACGCTTCCAAGGGTGAAGTATCCACAAGTTGACAACTCTGGGACACCTGTGCCTCACCATCTTCCCAGGGAAGAAGTTTTTCCCACAGGAGCAGGTGAACTGTGACACAGGTGGCACATTCCTAGTGAGGCCAAACACAGCTGGAGCATATCAGGAAGCTCAGCCCAGCTGCACAAGCAATCACAGAATCAATCAGGTTGGAAAACACCCCTAAAATCATCGAGTCCAACCTATGACCAAACACCACCCTGTCAGCCAGGCCATGGCAACAAGTGCCACATCCAGCCTTTCTGTGAACAACTCTTCCTTATGTGCAAGCTAAGCTTTCGCTTAAGACTATGCGCCCTTGCACTGCCGCTGGTTGCCTGGGAAATGAGCCCGAGCCCAGCTGGCTACACCCTGCTGTCAGGTGACTGTAGAGAGCGAAAGGGCCGCCTCAGCTCCCTCATGGGACCTGTGCTCCCGACCCTTCCCCAGCTCCGCCGCCCCCCACACCCGGCACCGCCCCGTCCCTCAGGGCGTCCCTGCCGCACCCCTACAGCCGCCTCCTCCACGCTTACCGTCCACATCCACCTGCACCGGGGGCCTGTCCCGTACCCACACGTCTCCATAGGGATCCTCGTTGTTCCAGAGCGGCAGGTAGTGCCTATTGTTCCCGCGGAGGGGCTGGTGCGGGCGGTGCCCGTCGGGCGGCGTGCCCGCGGCGGCGGTGCCGGGGCCCCCGTCCCGCTCCAGCCCCTCCAAGCAGAAGAAGCCGCGGTTCAGGCGCCTCTCGTCGTAGCGGAACGAGCAGCGTGTCAGGCGGTGGCGCGTGCCCGGCCGCAGGCGCGCTCGCTGCACCAGCCCGTTGAGGCGCGGCGCGAGGTGGCAGCGGTACCAGCCCACGCCGTCCGCCAGCGTCAGGTCGTACCAGTACTGGCGGGGGGCGGCGGGCGGCGCCTGCGCCAGGTACCGCTCCACCGCCACCACCGTCACGGCCAGCGGCTCCGAGAGCGCCGCGCTCAGCTGTGAGGAGCGCTGCACATCGTCGAACACCCTCTGCAAGCAGAAGGCCCCGCCGCCCTCCGCCGAGGCCGCCGCCCGGCTCTCCTCGGCGCGTTCCGGGGTAGGGTCCTGCATGACAGCGCCCTGGCCACCGCTCCGGGCGAGAGCCACGCTCCGGGGCACTGCCGGGGCCGGCCGCGGCTTCCCACTGTCATGGCTGAGCGCAGGGCGCCGCCCCCATGGCGCGCGCGCGCGGGGCGGGGCGGGCGGGCGCGCGCCTTTCAAACCTCCAACGGCCGGGGGCGGGGCGGGGACATGGGGACAGCGGCAGTGACAGGGCCGGCCGGGGAGGGACTCGGACACGGCAGCCGGGGAGCGGCTGCGGTCGGGATCAGGGACGGAGCTGAGGCCCGGGGAGGCGGTGGGAGAGGCGGCCGCGGCTGTTCCTCCGCCAGGCCGGGGCCGCGGCTGTTGCCGTGCTCGCTCGCCGGTGGCTGTGGCGGTGACCGGGCGCAGGTGACCCCAGCGCCCCGTCGGAGGGACAGAGGCCCTGACCGGCAAGCATCGCCTCGGTCCCTGCCTCCCTGCCGCACCGTTCCTGGTTCCACAGTGCTCGTCATTGCTTCTTCCTTGCCATCAGTGTGTTCCCAGCTGCGAGAGGCTTGTGCCTGCTTCTAATATTGTATTTCTCTTTTATATAGTTGCAGTGTGATCGTAATCATTTTGCCATTGAAACAGTCTGCTGGGTCTTGTTCTTGCTCCCATCTTCAGAAGAAATTCTCGCTAGTGGTTCCCAATTGTGTGAAATTTATATTATTGTTGATTCTTGTCCCACTGCAACTACCAACTTCTTTATCACACCATAGAATCAAAGAATGGTTTGGGTTGGAAGGGGCCTTAAAGACCATCTGGTTCCAAATCCCTTGCCATTGGGACACTTTCATTGATCTCATAAGTAGTCCTGTGAAAGCTTACCTAAATCAAGAACTTTGATGTTTTATCAGTGCCTGTATTTTTTTCTAGTGGAGGACACACCTTTTATGAGGAAAGGTGGAGGGAGTTGAGCCTGCTGAAACCAGAGAATTACAAGACTGAGAGGGGATTTTATCAATGCCCACAAATGTCTGAAAAACAGGTATAAGGAGAATGGGAACAAGTGGTGCCCAGTGACAGGATAAGGGGCAACAGGCACAAGCTAATACACAAAGAGTTCCATCTGGATAGGAGGAAAATTTTCTTTTGAGGGCAGAAGCAGCTGCAGTGTGCCTGGGGCTCGGGGCTTTCTGCTTAAGAAACCCTAACCCTAGGCAGGTAAATCATCTGGAACTGGAACAGGCTGCCCAGAGAAGTTGTGGAGTCTCCTCTGGAGATACTCAGAAGCTGTCTGGATGAGTTCCTGCTCTGCATGACCCTGCTTTAGCAGCAGGCTTGGACTTGATGTTCTCCAGAGATCCCTGCCCACCCCAGCCATTCCAGCAGGACAGAGTGAGGAGAGGGGTGAAAAAAAAGGCCAGGAAGAGTTGCAACTTCCACTCTTTATAGTGTCACTGGTCCAGATAGGCTGGAAACGCAGAAGTGTGGCTGCAGCTTAGGCAGAGCTGTCTCAGGTGCTGGGCCAGAGCAGTTCCTCCAGCCTGAGCACAGCTGTATCCTTGGTCTACTGCCTTTGTTACTGTGGAGCATTTGCCATGGGGAAACTGGAAAACCTGTCACCTGAATCATTTAAAATAGACTGAAAAACTAGACAAAGGGGTATAAAGCACAAGCTTTTGCTGGCCTTAAGAATTCTCTAGGAATGATATGACACTATGGATTTTATGATAATCACAGTGCATTCCTCAATGAGAAAATTTAAAATAAATCAGTCATTTGTGTTATGTTGAAGCTGAGTATTGGGTAAAACTTCCACAGGGTGTCTTTCTTCCCCAGTAAACACATTACTTGTGTGAACTGATAAAATGGCATTTACAGTTTACAAAAATGAACAAATGATCTTGCACAGGATATGATTTCACATCACACACAATGGATATCTATGGTGTACATTTTTTAAAGTTATTAAATAACCTGTGGGTATAATGAGGCAATCTCTGGAAGGCCCCCAGCTTATCTCCACTTTTGTCTGTGCTCATGATGAGATTTGCAGAAGAAACTTATTCATACACAGGTTATTGTTACATGTGCATTTGTTGCCATTTTTATTGTGGGTCACTGGGGTTTCATTCATTGAAGCTGAAGCTTTTGTGGAGTGGTAATGGACTGATGGGGACTGATAGCTGAGTTAATACTTTATACTGGATAAATCTGTGTGCATTGCAGCTGCAGATACAAGATTGCTCCTTCTCTTAGGCACTTGCTCCTGCTGCCTTCTTTCTCACCAGCAGAGGTCCAGCAAACACACAAATTTCAAAACTGGAACAAGGCTAAATCTCTTGCTGTCAGCGTGTCAACAGCAAGTTTTAAAAAGGTTATGCTGTGAGTTCATCTAGATGTAATTTCCCTACCATAACAGAACAGTGGGACTGATATGACTGGATTAGAAACTGGAAGTTGAGAAACACTCAGAGAATGAATCAGTAATGCCTGGAGAGGAGCCATCAGCAGATGGCTGTACCACATCACAAGAACAGAGGGCTTTGTGTTGTGCTGAGCCTGCTTCATCAGGGTGTGCAAGCAGCTCATTGAAGACAATATGATTTTTATATGCCTACAACCAAGTGTGCTAAACAATACTTGTGTTCACCCCATGTCACTCAATAGTCTCAAATTCTCAGAGACAATTAGCAGTCAAATATCTTGGGTTTTATATACAACACACCTTAAGAAAAGACTAGTTAGCCTTTACAGCAGTGACAGTGAGGAATGAGCTATGCTGAACAGGAGGATGTTATTACATTCTGTTAGATATTACATTAAAATACATTGGAGAAATGAAAGGCACAAAAGAATAAACTGTGATGCTCTAGATTAAAAAAAAAAAAGCTGGTGTGCAAGATCATAAAGCTTACTGTAAAAGTTGTTCACCACAAAGTGTTTTGAGGACAAAAATAGAAAAGTTTTTCTGATGCATTTCATCATTATTTCCTAGGTGCTTTTGTTAAATCTTCTAAGAAAATAACAGAAGTGGTTAAGTAATGCTAAAAGAACATTTTGGATGATTATTCAGCTGACACACCCTTGCCCTTTAATCAGCTCTCTGCACTTTGAAAGGCAGTTTAAGAAAGTGGTGAGTTATCAGCAGGAAAATTTCTTACACTTTTGATGTGTGGAACTTTGACATACTGCACAGGTTTTAAAATCTATAGAAGTCTTTCCTACAGACTGCAGGTTTGCTTATGCTTCATTTAACTTAAATAGAGCTGTTTAACCCTGGATCTGAACTTGTAACCCAGCTTTTATGGTGGCCTTTGGAGAAACAATGCCAGTGGCAATAAAGACTGTGTGAGCTTACTTGAGAAAAAGTGACTTGGGCTAACCTGGCACTCAGGCTGATGTGCACTAAAGCCACTTCTTGTAGCATCAATGGCTGCAAGCTGTCACTTTGCTGTAGTTCCCCGGCCCTGAGGCACGGGGTGTTTGTGTGAAGAGAAGGGCAGACACACACAAGTGCAGTGAAGCTCATTAGCAACACACTCAGCACAGCCCTGGCTGTCACCCTCAGGTGCACTCTGTCCACTCTGAACTCTCACACTGTCACTTGGACATCTTTATCCATACAAGGATATATATTTGTTTTGTCCCTACAGGCAGATATGGATGTTTCCCTAAGGATGGTGACTGGATTTGGAAAACAATAACAAAGGTTTCTACAATTTTTACAAAGCTGATATCAACATAACAGAATCATTACAAGTGTGATACTAGTTTTGATTTTTCAGAGTATTTTTATTGCTGTTTCAATTGTACAATTTCCACATGAGAGAACAATACACAGTGTACAGTACACAACTTGCATGGTTCCCAGGTTTTGGAGTCATGTGCTAAGCTTCAGGCTGCAAAAGAGAGTTCACCATGCCTAGAATGAAAGCAGGCACATACACACAGTTCTACATTGCTGCAGCATCAGCACAATCTTGTGTGGCAAATGCAACATTGTGAGCACCACCTGTCATTAGGAGACTGCCTGTACCAAAGGGTTAATGACATGGATCCTTAACATTCTGCCCCTGACGCATTTTTTCATGTCAAAGTGACATCACTAGGAAAACACATTAAGCAGTTTAGTCCTTGGTTTTAAAAGTTAGTGAAAGGGAATAGCTAGTGAAACACCTCATAAATGAAATTAAAAATTTGATATACATTTTGCATAGTTAAAATTATGTCTGGGTAACCTTGGTTACTGGATTTTTACATTTTTTTCTTCTGACCTTTGTCCTTTTGCTTTGAGCTGAACAGTTATTCAAAATACTCCCTCATTCAGTGCCCCCCAGTCACTTCAGACACCTTTCCATTTCTTTGGCTACTTTCTTTTCCTTAACATCTTTTAACTTTTTGTATTCCTCCTACAGCAATATTCTGTGCCAGACATCCACTCCCTTACCTTTGGCTACTTGTGTTTCTTTTCTTCAGCTTTTCCCTCCTCTTCAGTTACTTCCTCTTTCTTCTGTTACTCTTCTCAACATCTCTGAGCTCTTTCTCATCTTCAGCCTTTCTGACTATCTCTTGATAGAGGGACAATGCCACGGGTTTCTCTTTGTTGCATTCAGTTGCTGTTGCTATTTGCAATACCACTTCTAAATCCTTCAAAAGCATTTACCTCTAAGTGCCTCATGCTTTCCATAATTACACACAGAAAGTTTTTAATTTTTTTTTTTACAGTGAATAGAAGATGAAAATCCAACTCACTGCCTTGAATTGGAGCTGGAAAGAAGAAAGCTAACAGAGGGAAACAGAATGAATTATAATCCCAATGCAATAGTGCACATTCCCTCTCTTGAACTTGTGGTTGGTTGGGTTTTTTGCCTTTTAACATAGAGTTAAACTTTTTCACAGTGTGTCAACGTATTGTCATTGTAATTTTCTGCTACAATAAACTTAAGCTTGATCACATTTCCTTCTTTAATCTGTTCATATGACTTGTTATAAATTCCCACTGTTCTTTGCTAAATTCTTTTTAACTAGTCCCTAGCATCAGGAAAATACCAGCCTCCTACCTGTTGGCACCAGAACAGGGGAGGGACAAATCCCATGCATCCTCTGTAGTGCAGAGGCTGCTGAGATAAGCACACTTCCAAAATATTACAGGGCAGCCTGGATCACTGATTACTTACAGCACGAGCAGCTCTGCAAGTTCTGTACACCTATTGTGTGCAAAATGAAAGCTGCTCTTCCTTCAGTTTCTTAAGTCTTTTGACTCTTAAGAGTCTTTTGACTCTTAAGTCAAAAGTAAGTTGCTTATAAATTGATTGTCTCCAACTTACTTTTTGCCAGTAATTGTAACTTTCATCTCTGATTCTGTTATAGATTTGGACTTGTTTGGTTTTGTTGGTGGCTTTTTCCCCCCCTGTTGTTTGTTTAATCTATCAGCCCAATGCAACGAGCCCAAATGTTCAGCAGCACGGGAAGCCAAGCCAGGCTTTGCTCATGTGCCCCAGCCCTGGCCCTGGCAACAGGCAGGAACATTACTACAACAGAGCTCCTGTTGTCACACAGCTCTGCTCAAGCAGTTTCCATTCAGGTTTCAAGTCTGCACAAGCTAATCACTCACATACATTAAGAACCACTTTGAGTATTTAAATGTATTTTTTTAGTATGGCTTCAGGCTTATTTTTCTGTTAGTTAAACATTTAAAAGGAAAATTCTTCATTAAAAAGCACTATAGGTTTTGAGATAAGCTAGTGCCTGTGAAAAGTGCTAGGTTAGTAACTTTGGAAAGTGCAGTCCTCCAGATAGCCAAAAACATAAGAGCAGTAGTGCAGGCACCTCTGACCTGCCTGCAGCAGGGAGGTGCCAGCCCAGGGAACAGGGGGAAGGGTGAACAGCCCCTGGTTTGATTCCCTGCTGGGACAGCACAGGGACACAGTCTGAGCTACTGTCAGTCACAGCATCACTGCCAGCACCCAGACTGGCACACGGGACAGCACAGCTACCAGCTCCAACAACTCTCTCTGCCTCTTATCAACACAGAACCATCATCCTTGAGGTAGACAAGCAGATATTCCAACACACTTTTCCTGCACCCTTCACTATCAAATATTTCAAGTAAAAACACCTATTTTCAAGCACTGGAACTAGTGATTTCACTTTTGCCCGCAGCATTATCCCTACTGTATCATGTCTGGAATGAGCTCTTTTGTATTACATTTGATGCTCTAGATTTTCAAAGCACATCCAAAAATCAGCTACATAAGGACTACATTAAACCTTAAAATTGAATCATAGTATATGATTGTATATAGTGTGTACATATATATATGTATATATTATATCTCTATAGTTTTATGGCCAATTTATAAGCCCCTGAGAACAGAGTTTATGCAGAAACACTGGCACCAATAACACTAGAAGACGCAGCTTTATTTAGGTATAATTAGCATAGAAAGCACCTGGATATTTATATTTTCTATTTATAATAGATTAACTCTTTGGATATTTTCATAGCTATATTAAGAATACATTTGTTAATATCCTTTGTGGAAAGATTATATTTACATACAAGTACACAAAGGCTTCATGTGAAAGAGCAAGAAGGAAGAAAAGAAAGTGCCTGCTCTTGTGCCCTTCTTTATATACATGGGTAGTGCCTTTAAATCAATTCATATAAGTGTGGGTCCCAGCTGTGAATGAAAGTTACAGGTTCTGTTTCATAATGCTTTATGCATCTATAATTTTGACTGAGTATTTAAACAGTTTTTACAAATAAATCCTACAGTAACTGTGTCTATGGGCTCAGGCATCCAGCCCTGAGAGAAACACAAAATCTGTCCCTCCCTGCATTGGTAGAAATCTCCCAGCTGGGGCACATGTTCAGAATTAACTATTTGTACAACTCTGTACTGAAACACACCTGTCCACCCAGCACAGGGGATGATCCCTCAAGGTCCAAGGAGGATCCCTCAAGCCTTCTGGTCTGGCTGGGACCCACCACAAACCCTTTTACTCCTTCCCTGTTGTAAGGCTTGGACAAGTCGTTCAAGTTCATCTTGGTGACAGTAACAGCTCGCTTAAACTGCAAAAGGAGCCCAAACCCAATTCAAAATAGATTCCAACTGTGATTTTGTATCTACCTACAGCTGTCACTGTCCATAAAAAGTGACTTCAGTTCAAGATACCAACTTTACCTGTGAAGGTGTAACTGTCCATTTTTCAGAGTACAGGAGCTTCTTATATTGGCTACATTCTTCACTAAAGTCTCCTAATACAATCTTTGTTTGCAACATACTTTGAAAGACAAACTAAACATGTTTGCAATAGTTCAACAGTAAAATGGAATTCTTTCCAGACTGAAAGAATATGAATTTTAATAAGTCAATAATGACAACATTTTTGTAGGTAAGAAGTGCAAATTTGTGTATATTACCTCTGAGAATTTTACACTGCTACCTACAGGGAATTTTTCATTGCCTTCATTTTGATGTGCTTTACCAGTTGAATAGTACATTTTGACCAAGAGTCATAAAGTATATTTGACTGCTGCCTCCTGACTGTACAGATGCAAAGAACACCTTGAAAGGGAAAAAAAAAGAAGAAAAAAAAAAGATGCTACTGTCAGTTTATATTTATGAAAATATTTTTACTCATATAAGAAAGGTGATAGAATGCCACAGTCCCAAATACAAGGATACACATATATCACAACTGAATTTTAATCCCACAAGAAACTTTTTAAAGTGAAACTGTACATGTGGTACAACTGCATTTTTAAAAATGTATTTATCTCCCTATTTGAAAATACATAGGAGAACATTTAAAAAATAATTAATCTAAGGTTTTAAGATTTCAGTTTTCTAAATATGACATTGGGACTAAACAAATTTCAGAGAGCATTTACCAAAATTGCTATATGCAAGAAATCATACCTGATTATCCATACCCTGGTGTCTGCAATTAGGAGTGTTGGGGGTTTTTCCCCATGATGACTGCTCTAACTCCTGTAATTTCAGTAGTTCAGGAGATGCAGTCCTGCAGCTGGGAATTTTCAGAGCGCCCTCACTAACCCTCCCCACTACACCTGTGGTGCTGTGCAGTTCACAATGCCTGCATTTGTCTGCACTGATAGCAGTGAAGGCTGGGTGGAATAGAGAGTTCTAACAGCTGGGGGTGGCAATGTGTGCAGCATCCCTAATGAATATCCATAATGGGCGCTTTGTGGGACCAGTGGCTACACTGGCTTTGAAGAGAGAACTTACACCAAGGTAGGAAATAACCAGTAACAAAGTTACCAGAATTAACTGGTGTGTCATAGTCAGCTATTACTCATTTTTGCTAAGTCACCACACTGTAGTCATCTCTGTACCTTGTCATTTCTTTCACATAGAAATTTTAGCTTCTGTGCTTTCTTGTGCATAAATACTCCTTCCAGATTTCCTGTTTCCACAGAGCGTAGTTCAATCGCTTTTTCTCCCCAGCCCATGACCTGATTGGACTGAAGGAGGTAAGCTAGAAGACAAAAAAAAAAAAAAAAAAAAAAAAAAAAAAAAAAAAAAAAGGTACTGTTTAACAGCTGAAAGACTGATTCTTGCCTCATTTATGTTAATTATGGAACTGATTAAGTTTGCACAAAAAAAGCCTTAGGAATAGTAACTAAATTTCATTTTGTCCTCTCAGACTTATTTTGAACTCTAGACATAAACCTTAACTACTACTGTATATCTTTGATTCACAAAAGCTTGGAGGAAAACTCTGAAGGGCATCTTGTTTAACCACTGCCCCCCTCACCCCAAAGTGGGGCCAAAATAGACAAGGTTACTCAGGACCTTGTACACATATGGTTTGATGGATATTTCATAACCTTTCCAAGACCCTGCTGCAATGCATCACTACTTTCAAGGCTGAACATTTCTTCCTAATATCTTGGTGCAACTTGTGCCCATCTTTGCCTCTCATCCTTTAACTGTTCACATTCAAGAAAAGTCTCAACTGTCTTCTCTGTACCCACTGTACTCTGTTCCTACTAGGAAGCAGTAAATTTGTATTTACTATGGAGTTCAGCTTAGTCTGAAACCTGAATACTTCAGAATCTGAGACCACGGCATGATTAATTTGGTGTCTTCCCATGCCTGGTTATATGCAATATTTCCAAAACAAGATATTCTAGCACTGTGGAAGCTTAGTACAATACTCAGTTAAATCTGGCAATAAGAAACTGGAATAGTGATGAAGGAGTTAAGACCACAGATTTCAAATTAGGCACAGTTTCAGTGAAAGCCCTCTGACTGGTACTTGTATGGGCTTCCAAGGTAAAATCACATTAGTTATGCTCTATTGGTACTCAATGCTTAGAAATTGTTCTTCTTGCTCAACTATCAACTGTTACTGCATTACTCTGAGAATTCTGTTGCTCTAAAATGGTGTAGGGGCAATGTGTGCACTGGACTGGCTTTTAGCTTCACTTGACAGTGTATATCTGCCCCACATTATTAGTGTGAGCAAGGTCTGCTTCCTAAAACCTTCCATGTTGATTTAGCTTTTTGTCTAAAAATTGAACTTTCAGTACAGACTGATACTGGAAACAACAGCCTGCAATCCTGCTTGAGAAGGACAGCAGAAAATAAAGGCAATATGCCCACATGACTTTATATACTTCTAGCAGGGTTGATTTAACATTAACTTGGAATCCTTGCTTCATAATTGTTGTTAAAACAAATGTATGAAAATCATACCTCCTTGGAAACACATATGGTTTGGTTACAGTGCTGTGATTTTAGTTTCCTCAGAGTCTATATAAATTTCCCCTAAATCTGTTCAGAAGACTTTCAGTTATTCTTTGTGCACACTGAAGGCTTCCCTGCCACTAGTGCTGAGAGCAAGATAATTCTTTCCCAGTATTCCAGTCATGAGTAAAGAAGAAGAAATGAACCCGTTTTAAAAGCAAAGCAGCAGAGTAACCAAGGGTGAGTGGCAAAAGAGGAGGAGTATTTTCTAAAACTCAAAACCATGAAATGAATATATTTTACAATCTTTTCTTTATGCTTCAGGCTGTACAACAGGGCACCATTGCTGTAGGCTGTGAAGAAAGTGTCATTAACATTTGTGAACAGTGCAGCAGCAGCAGCATGAGCCCAGGGCAGCACCCATGCAGTCTACAGGATCTGAAAAGTAAGCCCAGACCACACATAAAGTGAAGAACATCAAAATGATACAAGACTCAAACTTATGCTATTTTTTGTACCAACTGATATCACATTAACCTTCTTAAAGTTTGCTTTTGAACACAATAGAGACAGAGGCAGCCTTTGGTTCTGGCGGTGGGAAGCAAGGCAGGTGCATGTGTATAAACAGCATGAAACTGCTCTGCGGCTACTCTGTTTAGTATGGGTCATATAGGTCTAGCAACAAAGAACTAATAAGTCTCCTGATCTTTTCCACTAGATGAAATCTACACTCCAGCTGCCACTGTGCTGTGTCTGTCTCTGTGCCTTTGGCAGATTTCAATTTGATAGCTTCCCTGCAGCTCCCAGGAACCACTTCATTAGTGTCTGCTGCAACCTCTAGGTCATCTGCTGGGCCACTTCTGCTGTGTTCTGAAGAGATCTGACCTCCAGGCAATATTCAAAAAGGAACTGAATAAACCAGATACACCAAGTTCAGCCCTGATGCTCTGCTGGCTGGCCAATATACCCACAACTTAGCAACCAACAATGGCAGGTTTAAGTACAAACAGCAAAAATTTTCAGTTTTGTAGCAGAATCAAAAAATTATTTCCCAAATTTCTTCTGTGAAAGAAGAAAATGGCCTCATTACACTCATTACACCATTTGCACAGTTGTCCAGTAATAATGACTTACCTATACATGGAGATTAATGTGAAGGATAGCAGGCTATCAATTCAGAGGTCAGTACTGAGTCATGATAATCCTCCCATGTGGGAGCTCTTAGAGGTGTTTCATGTGAGATGAACTGAGAGCAGATACTCAGAGTTGTCTTATTTTGGAACAATAGCTCCCATACCACGAACACCTTGGGAATAGTTACTTTGAGTCCACTTTCCACTGCAGCTTTAGATAAAAATATCCTGTGCTTCCAGCTGGTATGCTGTAGAGCATTGAGGCAGTAATTTAACCACCTTTTGGTTACACTCCCTGTTTCTCTACAGAATAGGCTTCTAAAATGTACAGGGAAAAGGAAATAAAGACTTTTACTAGTTCCTCTGGGAATATCCAGATTTGTGTCAACCCTTCATGGCTACATACTATAAATAATTCATTACTCACACAAACAGGCAAGAGTGCTCCCAAATCTTATTAACCTGATGTTTCTTAATGCCTTTTTGAAACCTGTTTCATAGAAAATATTACAGCTATATTTATATTTAGCCCTAGATATGTGTACATCTTTCAGATTAAACATAGAATACTTCTACAGTTTTTTAATTTCCCATGGGATTTGAGATTCCTCTCTCTGATTTCTTATTAACAGATTGGTCACAGAGGTCCCAATTTAAGACTATGAGTAAGATATATTTAGATTCTCTGCCCTAAATCCATCGATTATAATACAAAGTTTTACATTTTTTCTATCAAAATACTCTACCAACTACAAACATTTCTTTCAAAATGTTTGTTTAAAGAAATCAAGAAATGAGCAAAGGATGACTAGAGAGCACCCTGAGGGTAACACAAGACCCCTCTGTCTCTGCAACAGAGAATGAAAATTGAGATATGCTCATACAGACTTTAGGAGGTTTGAAATGGGCATAGAAATTCCAGGAAAACAGGATCTTTTAAGAAACTGTTAAGTTGCCCCTAAGCTGGGCCATTCAAATAACGGTTATTCACACTTCTCTTATAATGTTTTTATCTGCAGCCAAGGATATCAAAGGATTAATAAAATTTATAGGAGTTTGGGATAAAATTATGAAAATAACAGTTAACAGAGACCTTATCTGAAGTTTGAGTAGTGTATTTAGAGGTTAGGTTAATTTTTAGTGGAAATATAATTTCAATCAGAAGTCAGATTTGGTTTGTACCACATCCCAAAGATGGGTTTTCCCTAAAACTACTCAGGCAGAAGTGAAAGGAAAAAGGTGAACATCTTTAATTTTTCACTGTGCTATCCAGTTTCCTCCAAGCTAATAACAGGCTTCTGTGCAGTCTAATTGTCTTGGGCTTTTGTTGGAATGTTTGTTTTAAAATAAAGAACAGGAGTGAGACAGAAATTAGCAAGTAATAAACTCAAAAATCTGCCTGTGTTGTGCTTCATTTTCCCCACTGTTAGCCTGAAGCCCTATGGGAAAGGTGAAACAAACAGCTGTCCTGGCTGCAGTACAAGCAGAATCTCCTCCTACACAGCCAACTGCAAGCATGGGGAGATTAAGAATCTATCACAAATACCCTGGGCTGGCAGCCCTGTGAATTTAAAGTGCTAAAATGAAGGGGCCATTTGACAGCAGTTACAGATCTCTTCAGTAACTGACCCCTCAGTAGCTGTGAATTTCTGCATAAAACGCTGTGAGCTATGAACAACCAAAACACTTCTTCCCCCCTGTAATTCACATCATTCTCCCTGTGGAAACTGGTGGTAAGCTGCATCCTCAGTGAAGTCTGTCTGTATAGTCAATGTGTGATGCAATAAACAGTGTGACAAGAATACAGACTGTGTCCAAATGGGAAGCCCCTATTGCAATAATTGGCTGTGTTAACACAAACACCCATAAATCTGTTTACTCTTTTACACATCTGCTTTGCTCAGAAGCTGCTTTATGTGCCATACAACCATTTTCACAGAGATACAAACCTCATAAAGAAGTCAGGCTTCATGCAGCAGCATGTTATATTTAATAGAGAGCTATTTTTCATACATACCTACGGATGCTGGCATTTCTCCCCACTGCAGAACAGTCTCCTTTGTGAAATGCCCATATATATCAATGTAGATGCCTTCATCTTCATAGGTGAGCAGGAGCTCCATGCCACTGGTGTTTGGGAGGATGATAATGGCATGGGGGCGGATCGTCCCCTGGATCTGGAATCGTATTTTACTGAGATTTATATCAGAACACAGACTGCAATTTCAGTGATGACATCAATCTAACTAGCTTGGCAGAGCAATAAAAAGAACTAGCTCATGGCTCATGGAAAGTGAAAGAAATGCCTGTTCTCAGAGGCTGTATAGTTTGCTAGTAAGCCTCTGAAACAGACTTTCTCTCCTTCTCCCCCCTTTGAATATGACAGCAGGTTTGCAAATAAATCAGTGTTCAATAGTTCACACTAAATTTACCAGTGTTAATTGGTTTCAAGAAGCCATGGAGCCATTGAGACACAATAATATTTACTTAGTCCCTCACAAAATACTTGCATTATATAAATAGGAGAAAGGTGAAATAAATTCGAATTCACCACTTTTTCAGAAGATGAAGGACAGAAACTTCCACATTCCAGGAGATCAGTGCTTTCACTTTCCATGATATTTCCCTTTCCCCACTCACAAGTTAAAAACCTGCAAATTTAATTGTATTTATCTTGCTGTAAAAAGTTCCCTGGATCTTTTCACTCTGTCTTTCCCTTCCCAGATCCTTCACTACAAACAGCTGCCCATTTGACAGCTGTTGGGCACACCTCTGCATGCCACAGGAACAGTGCATTTCACTCACACGAATCTCTCCCAGAAGCCAACATATCCCAAGCAACAAAAAAACCAAAACCAAAGGTGAAGTATACAACCATGAAGGTGGGGTTTCATGAAAGCATTTTTGGAAGAAAATGAGGACAGCCTTAAAAAAAACAAAGCACTTCCTTGTTTAAAGCACTACTCAAAACAGGATGTTACATAGTAAATCAAACCACCACAATTAATATTTTTATAGGAAACATATGACTGGAGCTTTACATCATTCTCACAGGCCAGCCACACACAAGTCTTTTAGTTTTTTCCCCTCAAGCACAGACATTTATGCACACTGTAAGGGCACAACAAACAGTAAAAGAAGCACTGAAGCTGTACTTGCCCAACTGAATACACTCAGGCCACCCACTTGACTCCGTGCCTCGGCAAGAACTATCCGTAACACTAGAACGGGGATCCAGAGCCGCAGAGCAATTTTAATGCGCCGCCTCGGGACCCGCATGAGCGACCGCAGCAGGTAAGAGATGCAGAAAGAGCTGGGCAACCAGGAAAAGAGGCTACCAGAAAGCAAGAGTATCTCAAGTCAGCCTGTTACAGTCTGGGCTAGTGCCACCACAATGCTCCTGGAGGTAAGTATCCGGTTCTAGCTCTTTTGAAATAATAGAGTATCAAAAAAGATAGAGCTGCTGTAGCAGCTGATTTATTTCAGGTCTAAGACTCTGAAAGGAAAATATATTTTTAGTCCGTGCTAACTTGTGGCTGAAGAGCTCACACAAATGCAGTCAGTCCCAGGTGCCCCACATATTCAGGGCAGTCACCTGGGAAATCTCTCTCATCAGGTACCTAATTGTATTTGCAGCCAGTTGAAAAAGTAAAGCCTCTAAGAAAGTTCACTTTTTTCTTTGCCTTTCTTCTCTTGGGCAATTATGCTAAGGATCCTTTTGACAAGTCACTGCTCACCTTGCTCAGCAACCCACTTCCAGAAAGGCACGTGGGTACCATGCTTCAATTTACAAACTGATGGGAATTCATCACAGCTGACTAGTTAACAAAGGTACTGTCAGATTAAATAAATCCTCTAACAAGACAAATACTAAGTACCTTAAAGAACCAACACAGAAATAAACAGTACAAGCCTTTATCAGGTGATTCAACAGTTAGAATAGCTAGAAGTTATTTTTCAATTAAGAGCACCCTATACATCTAACAGCCAATGTTACACACTGTGTCCATCAGGAACACAGCTCTGACAGAACATGGAGGCTGTGGCTTGCAGGGGCAGCAGAGTGACCAAGTGGCATAGACAGGAGGAGTGGGGTTTTCATTTGGGTTGAAAACGAGGGGCTGAGAGTGGAGAAAAGTTAAAAATAGATGGATTCACAGCACAGGCTGCAACATGCAGATCTAGGATGAGATTTCTTCAGACCTGCCAAGCATAACTTTGGGACACATGGTCTGGGGATGCAAGGAGGCCATGGCACCCCCAGCCCCTGTGGAGCACTGTTGACTTCAGGGAGGGTTCAAGTGTGCACAGAAGTTTCTCTGCCAGGGGCCTCCCATCAGATTGGAGCCAGTCTGGAACCTGCCAGTTTGCTGAACCTAAGTCCCCAAGATTCTCTGGCTTTTGGGACTCACAGCTTTGAAAAGAATAGCTAAAAAATAGGCAAACAAACAAAAGTCCAAAAATAGTAACACCATAGCATGGACTTCATATTGGACAGCCCCATGCCAGCCATTCACTTCTGCAGGGCAATTTGCCGTAATCTGACCTGAAGCAGCATTTAGTGCTCTCCATCACCTCAAACAGAAACACAATGCAAAATGTACACATACCCCTGAAATCAACATCTTCATGCTAACTTACTGACAATCTAATGAGAAAGTCCCAAGGAAAATGTAAAAACTTCTGAATTTACAGAGTGGTTTCATGGGCAACTGAATGGCAAGAAGATCAGCAAATTTATTTAGTCTGAAGTTGGTTTCTGCTGTCTGCACAGTGGCAGATTGTAAAAGTCACCTAAATTCATGTAGATATTATTGTGTCTTTGACTGTTTAAGTCCTAAATTTCCAGGATAAATCAATTCAAAATAGTACTGTCCAGACAAAAGGCTTTCTGACATTAAACCACTAAAACTGATATTCTAAATGTGATAAAAGCATTTAAACAGGACTTCAGTGTTATAAAACTATATGAAAAGTGGTTTGCATTAGCTGCCACTAATCATTCTTTTGAAAAACAGTACAACTCTTAACCTGATCATCATCAATACACAACCCAAAGAACAAAGGCATTAATGTAGGTTTTTGGATTCTCTTACGTGTGTTGGAAGGTACAAGTCATACACAGATCCAGAGTCCACATCAATGGCATGAAATCCCACCACTGAGCCATATATGACCTTTAGTCTTTGCCCATTTTCAACAGTCAGGTCAACTGACAGTGGTTTGTGATGAAGTGAGGTAAAGGACTGGAAAAAAGAAAAATGCAGTATGTAGCACAATAAAACTGTTGGTTTGCAGAACTACATTTAGGATCCTAAGAATTCTCAAAACTCAAAAGTTAGCTATTTTGGTAAAATAGTAGGTTACATTTAAGGAGCTAAGTATCCATCATCCACTGAGTTGCATGGACAGCTGGATAATTCATTTGTGGTTTGTAAAAGGAATCAAGATTCTAGAAATGGACTAGGCAAAAAGCAGGCTGACTACCACTGTGTTTAATTTCATCCCCTTTTGAGGGAAATCAACATCAACTTTGTCAATTCAAATGCACATTTTGGCACAGCACCTGCTGAGTTTGGCTGGGGTAGAGAGAAACAAGTTATTCATATCTAACACTCATGACTGTGACAGTTTCATGTTTGCCATCTCCAGAGTACATCAAAGGCACTACATTTTCTTTACAAGAATACTCAGTTTATCTTTAGCTAGAATAAATGTTATACACAACAACAAAAACAAAAGCAGAGCACAGATGAGAGACAGTGAGAGACATTGACACATCTGAACCAAAGTGATGTTTCACTTACCTTAAAAGCCATGAATTTGTGATAAGGCTTTGGAGCCCAAGCATAAACCTCCACTGAGTTTTTCAAAGCAATTACAAGGAATTTGATTCTCTCATATCTTACTGTAATACAAGAACAATTATTCCTTAGGAACCAGACAGATGCTTAAATCAAAGACCATCTCATCACATGAAATAATTTCAATGGATGACTTGTAGAGGTAGACGTTATCCAGCATGGGAGACTAATGCATTCTGGACATCAATGTTTAATATCACCAGTGACTATACCTTGACTGGAAACCTACAATTCATTTATTTTCAGTAAAGCCAAATGACTGTTACCAACATTTATATATCCCTTTTCATATAGTGATGAAAAAAAAAATCTCACTATTCAAAGAAAAAGGTCTTGACCCTACAGCTAAATCAACCTCTTGATTTTTTAAGTATGAACACACTCCAGCACTACTGTTATGAATAAGCTACTATTGGAGGACTGGTGGTTGTTGGCTGAACAATTTTGTCAGACTTGGCAGGATGAATTTTCATGTCACTGCTCATCTGTGGGTTAAATCCCCAGGTGCTGTGTGGGTGAAGGACTCCCATCTTT